CCTGACCTGCATAGTTCATAAAGTTCAAATAGGGGCAAAATAACCATGGCCAAAAGCCAAATTTCCCAATCTTTAAGACCAAGTCAAGACTATAAAAACCGGGCCGCGGGTGCCACAGCTGCCATCACTTAGACGCCTTGGATGGATGGACAAGGGCAAGAGGTAGATTATCAAAATAACCCCTGTAATCATATCCAAACTCACAATATGATGACGACAAAGCAGTTCCAGTTCGCACTGCATAGATGCCGTGAAGCTTATATTTTGACAATATACGCCTGGGATGATTACCCGACCAGTGAATTTATCTGCGACAATTATTACAAAAGTAATAAAATTATTATAAGTCAATTATAACAAAAAATAAATATGCCTTATAACAACATTACCATTTGAACAAAGAGGTAATTAATTATTAATATTGAATCTCTTACTACAAGTGCTCTACAATTAGTTAATAGTAATACTGTACTAAACAACAACTTAGATAGTTTGATTTGACACTTTTATTATTGTATTTCTTTTAGGTCCCCTGTATCAATTTACAAATTGTGACATGCGTATCAGCAGGCTCTGGAAGACACTAAGCATATCACAAAATCTATTTTTAGGGGAAAGTCTGCATGATCTTTAAATGTTTGAAGCATCAACATTCCAAAAGTAAACCACTATCCATGCTGTGTGTTGCGAGGCCATTATCAATACTGCCAGTTTGCATTAGGAAAAAAGCACACTATGGCGGATGCAGAAAACAAGATCTGTAGCCTCAAGCGAGAAAACAACACGCCCAGTGCTTAGGAAAATCAACAAGAGACAGCAGGGATCACCACGCTGTTTTGTCATATTGATCTTGTTTAGATAGACTTGATAATGCGTTCGAATGGGAAACTCATTGAATGATGACTGCAGGAAAAGCATTTATGGTCACTTTATAACACTGTTTGATTATAAATCATTTATTAATGTGTGTTACCACTGATGGGAACAGGATTACTAAATGTATATAAACACAAAACTATCCCATAGTCTTTAATTGCATGTCATGCCTCGTTTCCGCTTGCCACTTTGTGTTGAAATTAGGCTAACGTTTGCAATGGACCAGAAAGGTTAAGGTAATAACCATCATTGCTGTGTGCCACAATGAACCACCAAGGGGAGGTTCAACAAAGTTTTTGAGCGTTCAAACTTTCCCAATGGAAAATTCTGTTGCCCAAAACACTAACATACCAGGCACTTGTTGCCCCACACAAACTTTTCATACACACTCGCTCTGCTTAGTTTGACGCACGCTCCCACACGTTATGTTGCATTTATGTACATAAATCCTTCCTTTGAGTGGATGAAGCAATAAAAAAACTCCAAATACAAAGTACCTTGAAAGAAGTCAAAAAGGTGCTTGTATAATAAAGTGCAAGGTCAACCCTTAAAGTGATAGTCTGCAGTTTGTCAGAAAGAGAGAGAGAGAGGTACTTGATTTGAAAAAAACAACGCAAGCTCCCTCCCCTTCCTTTCTGATTCGTCTACACCAACGTTTCCGTAACACATTTATAAGTGTAATGAGAGAACACATTATTCATATACATTATTAATACACATGCAGAGAGGTTTTCAAAATTATTTGTTAACGTTTTCATGAAAAAAATAATGTTTTAATGCACACAAAAAACGATCGCGGCAAACCCGGAAGAAGCTAATTGAACATTGTAGGACACATCTGCAGAGGATCTGACTATGGATATAGGTTCAGTATATAAATGGGTAACTCAGCACAGATGTTCAGAATTCTTTGTTCAGTTTTCATGTAGTTTCAGAGCCTTAGAGGCTTGATTCGGAGGCTCCGCGAAAACAAACAACTGAGCATGAGCAGCTACGAGCATGAGCAGCTACGAGCATGAGCAGCTACGAGCATGAGCGAGATGATTGACAGCCCTTGGCATGACTCGATTGGTTAACGTGGACGGCATCGTGGATTCTGCGCTATAGCTAAGAGAAGGGAAGGTGGGACTAACCCGTAATATTAGAATTAATAAAATTACTTATTTGATATCAACATTTAAGGCCAGGGGGTCAATTTAATACAATTCTTAAAATGTGTAATTTATTTAGAGTTACAGACTATCACTTTAAAGTGCATTGTGATCTGACTACAGCTTGTGGAAAGAAGCTGTTAAAATGGCATTAAGCCCTGAACCCAAGGAAAGATTTCTTAACAATGTAGTTTGCATCTTTGCCCCATTTCAAATCAATGACAAAGTTCAACTTCAAAAGCAACATCTAAGAAACAGAGAGTAGCATTAGGCGCTGTACAATTGGGTCTCGTTGGTGAAAACAGAGTAGAATTGCTGTTTAAAATGCATTTTTAAAATGTCTCATTTTCAGCTACAAACTAAATGTGCAGCAGAGGAGAAAAGAACTAAACGTCTTCAATGGAGCAGAAACAGAACATTTATCTCAAGTGTCTGAGTCTGTAACTGGAATATACCCGTGAACACAGAAATACTCAAAATGATAAAAATGGAGAGGAGTTGTGTGTTTTAGTCATCACTATTGGGCTATAGTATAGCCGCTATACTTGCTGGACTTGCTCAGTGTCAGCAAGGTATGATCTCTCTACTTTTAAAGGGTACATTCTATGTTGAATTGACTTATTTTTATGTATTTTAACGATGTTACAAGATGGGACGACAGTACCTCAGTTGGTAGAGCATTGGCCTTTGGGCCTAAAGGTCATGGGTTTGATCCCCCCACGAGACCTACTCCAACTTCTCCCACTAATGTCTACAGTCGTTGGGTCCTTGGGCAAGACACCTAACCCCACATTGTCTGAAGCCCCAGCTGAAACACCAAGCCTGCGTCACCGCTGACAGAGCAGCCCTCATCCCGTGGACCCACCACCTGCAGGAGGATCAGAGAGGGATTGGTGCTATGAGCATTGGGTGCAGGCAGCTCTGATTGTCACCCCCCAACCAAGAAAAGGACTAATAAAGGGGTGGAAAAATGACATGAATGAATGTTACACCATCGCTCAACCTGGATTTGTTTTTAGATGTTTAATATCAGAAACTTCTGGCATTCTTCTGTCAAAAAGCTTCTTATTATGAAAAATCAGAAGGATTATTATCGCTGCAGATATTTGTATGAGGTAACACACTGACAAATACAACAGGTGGGAGGTGAGTTTGAAATGTCCTGGGATTCAAGGATCCAAAAACAACTACAGCTCAGTTTTGATGAGGGAACAATGATGTAACATGAGTAAAAGCTAGAGAGTAGATTCAATTAACACAACTTGCCAGATGTGGGATTTACGCCACATGTTATGAAGAACCACCATCCAAACATTGTGAGGTGTGAATGCACAGTGTCAGCCGGAACCAAAGGACATTGTTTGACTAAGTGAACCAATTGAGTATAACCAAAGTATAACATCTGTTATACTTTGGCTATAAAAAGAAACTCCAGGCAACAGCGCAAGTAGCACCCAGAGGAGCGACGTGTTCGCTCACAGCTATAAATACCACAAAAGACGTACCAGGAAAGGGACAGAAGGACAGATACACAAACATGCTTAACATCAACAGTCAACTCCCTTATTGAAACTTCATACTGAAGGACACATGCTGGAGGTGAACTGAGCAACCGAATTGATCATTAATTTTTTTTGGTCTCACCCTCCGCTTTAGTAGATAAATTCAGGTGACCATCAGTTGTTTACAGACAAGAGACAGCTACTGTACATATTATCATAAATAGAAAAATCTGATTTAAACATATCTGCAGCTATTGAAAATTTTAGTAATCAAGTAGACAACATTTCCACTGAGAAAGGACCTCATCCCCTGCTTTGATTGAGTAATCAAATATTTTTGTTTGATTAGGCTTTATTTTAAATATACAATATCAAATTACAAACCACTTAATAATGATGATAAGGGTATTTCTTGCACTCGCTTCTTTATTATGCTAAAGTTAAGGAAACAATATTAACTTCTGCTATTAAGAAGCAAAAATGATTATATTTGTCCACTAGATGTCAGTGCTACAAGCTAGTTTGAGCACGCGCAGAGGCTTCAGTCTAGCAAGGAGAGCCTCAGTGTGTTACGGGGCTTCATTTGGCCATCACTACTATTGTGGTATGCTAGCTCCATCTTGCAATGTTTGCATACTACTGCGTTTACTTTTGATTTTAGTGTGTAATTCCCCTGTTTTCTTGTTGCTCTCATTGACTGTGTTGCTCTTGCCCTGCACTTTCTGCGTCGTCTTCCATTGTGAGCTATGAACAGTCTATGGAGCTATGTGGGCACGCAAGATCTGTGATGACAACATGGTTTGCAACACATTAAGAATCCGTGTGAAAAGTGAGTTTTAACCACAGTCTATTAAACAAGGAAACTATATAAAGCCTTGAGGCAGCAGAATTTACTCATATTTTTCATGCTCGAATTACTTGAGTAATTCAAGGAATCATCAGCTCATAGCTGCTTGCGTTCAGCAGGGGATGAGGTCCTTTCTCAGTCCAAATGTTGGGCAAGTGGGATTTCCTTAGACAACATGGTTGCCCTCTTGGCATCACGGGGCACGGGTGCCTTCAAACAAGACTGACGACTGTTGACAGTGAGAGTGGGAGAGGTGATGTCACTGTAGCAAAAAGAATGACCATTTCTTTAGTCTTTGAGACGTTTGGGTCCAGTCTCTACATCACCGCAAGTAAGTGCCCAGTTTGGTCTGTAGTCCTGTAGTGTTGGTAGTGTCCATGAAGACATACAGTAAGAGTATTAAAAGCAGGTAGTGCTCAGTCTCATATTATCATTAATGCTTTTTCCATGTTATTGAAAGTCTTTGTAAAAAACATTCCGGTTCATTCTTCTGATAGAACCTTTACATTGGCATTCTCCGAACAAAAACTTTTTTTTTTTCTGGCGACTCTTTTAGCTTATGTAACTTTTCATCCATGAATGAAAGTTGCAAGTCTGCAGTGGTCAACGCGTGTGCGTTGAGATTCAGAAGGAGGTGTGGGTGGGCTTGGCGGGGCGCTGTGTCTTGTCATTGGGTCCATTAGCCTCTCGGGGTGATGCATTGACTGGAGGGGCTTGTTTTTCTGCATGCACCCACCACTGTGCCGCGAGCTAATTCACCCAACACTGAGCAGTCTGTCAAACACTTCCACCCCATCACCCACCAATCAGGGGCCATGATCCGTGAACTGTACACAAGGCTCTGACAGGCCATTTTACATCCTGCACAAGCAATGTACACTAACACCATGGGGATGTATCTGCGTAGCCAGCCAATAGCTCTGTCAAATTCCTACCGTACTCCTCACTTTCTCACACATTCTTCCAAAATCTGTAATATTCAACTAACTTTTAAAATAGTGCATCCATTTTTTACAGCATTTTTCTAGACACTAAAAGATGCTTCACAGCAATAGTTTTTCACTGCCACAGTTGCCCTGGCAAAGACTGACAGAAACAGAACAAAACTGACAGAAGGCAACTAGTATGTGCCCTCGACTATTCACGAATGGTTCGCTCACACACTCGACTCATGGTACCCCAGGGGACGATCCTGGGACCTATTCTTTTCAATCTCTAGGCCAGTTAACAACATGTCCTATCACAATTACGCAGACGACACTCAGCTCTATGTCTCACTTACAGCAGGAGAACATGGACCAGTGGACTCACTCCCTCACTGTTACTTATTTTTTGTCTTTGGTCACCAGAAACCAAGAGAGAGCGTCATCTGTCACCTACAGTCTCTCTCCCTAAAACCTTCAAATCAGGTCAGAAATCTAGGATTAATAATTGACTCAGACTTGCATTTCAATAGTCACATCTAATCAGTAACATCAGCAGCTTTTTACCCCCTAAAACTAGAAAACAATGCTAGGATAAAACAAAGTGTATCTATCTATCTATCATTGCACCTGCTAAATGTGCTTGTTGTGTTTGAACTAAATATTGCACATCTGCTAGTAGGGCTGTCTGATATAATACTGTTTGCGGTAATAATTTTGAGTGACGGAAATATCGCAATAGCATTTGTGTGTATGCATATGGGTTACCATGCCCAATGTGACGACATTGTGAGCCTTTCCAGCTTTGGCATCCGCGAAGGACAACTGTTATGACTTTTTAAAGTAGATTGTAATCTATATTGAACTATTCGTAGACACTCAGGCGCAGGAAACGTGGACTGGATTGATGTTTCTGACACCCCAGTGGCCATCAGGCATATCTCTCCTTAGGATAGGATCATGTTTGTATTCCAGTAGTGTGTCAAAACAATCAATAATATTATTAATAATACTAATAATAATGAATAATATGAATCATAATAATAAATCGGTTTTATATAGAGCTTTTCAAGAACTCAAAGACGCTGCACAATTCAGGACCCACATACTCATTCAGACAGACACACAAAACTTAAAATCTAAAAGCAGAAAAGAAGAGTGCAATGCTGAAACTAAGAGCTGTATGCTTTGAGCAAGAGGTGAGTTTTTAACTGTTTTTTTTAAGGAGTTTAGTGAGTCCGAGTTTCTGAGGTGAGGGGAAAGAGTTCCAGAGAGTGGGAGCAGAAATGGTGAATGCTCGGTCCCCCAAGGGTCGGATCTTGGATTTGACAGTGGGAGTGAGGAGATTTAAGTTTTTGAAGGACAGGGGTGATATGTTCTCTGGTGCCGGTTTTTCTGATGAGGTGGGCGGCAGAGTTTTGGACATATTGCAGTTTTTGGAGATCTGATTAATGAGTCCATGGATCAAGATTTCAGCGGCAGTGGAGGACAGGAATGGGCAAAGACATTCAATCTTTTTTGAGATGGTGTCAGTATCAACCCTTTCCTGTGCGGGATGCTTGAGGGCTGAGAGGAAGAGCTCATGGTCCCTGGGCTCCTCTGTTTGTCTCCACTTCCAAGGACAGATGAGGAGCATCACTACGGTTACCATATCCATGACAACCTCTCCTCTGTTGCTATTATTGGGATGTTGTCAAGGAAACAGGAGCGACTTATTATGGGGTGGAGACGGAAATAGGAACCTGGCTTCGAAAGAATTACAACGGATCTGCGCTGTTACATAAGGCGTGCAGAGGGGGGGCTAGTGTGAGAAGTTGCATTGATTTCAGTCAGGCCCCATGTATGAAAGTCCTAATATGCACAAGATTTATAACTGATGTTTTAAAACTGTTGCCTCGGTGTGTCAGTCTTGATATGTGGGTTTCTGGTTTTCTGGATGATCTCATCAACAGTCTATTGACGAGTTAACTCTGAGTTACAAGAAGACACCTGAAGTGCCCCAGATGTAGACTGGGACAGGAACCTATTTGAGGCCAAAGACAAATTGAGTCTGGTTTGAGAGCATAGTCCATAGTCTTGCCTTGTAAACACAGTCAATGTTTAAAAAAGTGGTCAAAAAGAGTGCCCTTTCTTTGTATAGTATAGATAATTTTGATACTATAGTCAGTTTTATCTTCATAAAATTCTTTTACAGCGTACTGCACTGAGCCAAAACTGATTTTGATACGTGGACTAAATTGGGGGCAAGGCAATTCTAAATGCAGAAAAAAACAGATCAATATATAATAATTATCAAAATGGGGATTTAAAAAATACACAAAAAATAATCAATTGTATGCACAGCTAAACAAACTAACAACCAACCGTGGAACAGGTAGCCACAATAATTATTTTGAATTAATTTCTCTCAATTCTGAACTCAGCAAGAAAGCCACATGTCCACAGCTGAATGCAGAATCTCCTAACCCTGTGTTTAATCTCTACAACACTTCCTGTCTGTCTGGAGCCTGTTAAACTAATTGACCACAGCTGAGTGAGTGCGTGGTGTGTGCGTGTGTGTGTGTGTGTGTGTCAAACATGCGTGTGCGTGTTCTTGTTTTAAGTCAGCTGATGGGGCCGTCCAAAATGAATTTTTAAGCACAAGAAACATCTTATCCCACAAACAGGTGGTGGAGAGTTTGGTCCAAATTAAACAGGACCTTGGAAAAGTAACAGATGTGACACGACCTCAGTGGGATTAGTGAGCTCCCAACAATAATATTAAAATACAACGACAGGCAGCTACAGGGCACGAGCCAAGAGCTGGTGTTCGGACATAAGCATTGATAATACTACTATGATTTCCAATAAAAAAGGAAAGGAAGGAATTTACCCTTTAGATTACCCTCATGTTACCAATAGCAAACACAAGCTACAGTAGATCTATTCAATTATATAGGTCATTTAACAAAAATGTTGCCAGGCCCATTTTAAAGTATGTTAAAAATGTATTAAAAAAATTGGTTGTCTTGTAACATGCCTGGATTTTTCATATTTAAAGGTTCCATATTACGCTTTTCCCCTTTTCTATGCTTTAAACATTCATTTGTGAAGACCAAAACTCCAATGATATTGTTATTTTCTTAATTTAGGGCTACTTTTGGTATATGTATCTTTTGTACTTTTAAATGACTAATCAAGGCTGATCAAGTTAGGAAAAATCATCCAAATTCAGCTTGGGTATTAGGGTAATCACTGTGGTGGGTCAATTTGACCCGTGGATAGCACAAAGGTTAAAATCTTCAACATTTTGAATATTTTGTCTTTTTTATTTCATGTTTTGAATAGAATAAACTAGGGATGCATCGATACCACCTTTTTCAAAAACGAAACGCATACGAGTACGATAAAGGAGCAACACGTACAAATCTGGTCAAAAGAGGTACTGACACCTCTCCCACTCTCCCTGACTCAGGTTGCCAGATAAGCAAACAAATCCAGCTGGGACCATAATATCTAAAAAGAGTTTTGTCAACAACAAATCTATAACTAGCACCTTTATCACAAAGATCCCGATAGAAATCCTGGTTTTATTCCTCATTTTGGTATTAAAGATTTGAGAATCATGATGAGGCCTTTTTTAGTTCTGCAGCCACATGTTACTTTACCAGTGAGAGTAGCTTGATGCAGTGAGTTCTGGCAACCCGGATCACAGACTTTCTGATTGGGGAAACAGCGGAGGGCAGGACATCGAAATGAAAACAAAGATTTACGGGCTGTAAAACTAATTTTGAAATCCAAATATCTCGGCTGAACTACTGTTATCAGTTGATGAAGTATTCAAAAAGAGCATGGTTTATGAATGCCTTTTGACAGATTAGGGCCATTTAACGATGACTTGACATGCAAATATTACATATTGCTACTTTAATTGAATTGCTGATAACCAATACCGGATACAAGAACTGTATTGTGTTGTCCCTGGTAATTCATAAAAATGATACTACTGAACACATGCCGCACAGATATCTACTGTCGTGACACTAATGTAAATTAAAATTTTGGGTACGGTTGCCCGGATCGGGTCCTATGGTATGAGTAAGAGTTCAAGCAAGTACAAGCCTATGGTGTCGACTCGATACCACTATCGGTATCGGGGCATCCCTAGTATAAACTGTTTAGCTGTAAGTTTTTATACTTCTAGGTTATGGTATCTGCAGTATCGCAGCACTTAAGTACTTCTAACATTGAATTGAATAGAAACTTTTTGTTTTGACCTTTCTGATCTTGTTTCACTTTTCCGATCTTCATAAAGGTTGAACAGTTTTATGTTTTTGATCTTTTTAGTGTTATGTAGTACTTTGTTTTTGTTCATTCTATTTTAATCTCTGATAAGCACATCGAAAAACTTTTTTGTAAATATTTCCATTGCCAAAACAAGAAATGTAATAGTACCCTTCCTAAAAATAGTTTTATTTTTCTGACTTCCAACTTGGTTGGGAGTGAAAGGTCCCAGATAGCGTTTCCAGGCTTCACATTGGGACAGAGCTGTTCAGCGTGTTTTCTTAGTTTGGCTGCTGTCAGTAGATAGATGCTAACAAACGCTAACTTAAAACACAGATTAACAAGCAATATGTATGAATTTGAAACCACATTTGGGACGTGAATAATCTGTGGATATTCGGAATCTGCAATAATTAAATTTGTCCACTAGATTTCAATGTTAGCTAGCTCATAGTTTTTGACGTTTCGAAACAGTCTCGCAAAGGCATGGGGCAGAGGTGTAGATAAAAATGGCAGCTTTTCATTTGTAAATTGCTTCACACATCTTTGCCAAACATGCACAAACATATATTAACATTAAAAATAAAATTCAAGTAAAGCGAGAAAAACACATCCAAAAAAGCTCAATATTTACTGAAATGTACAAATAAAGCAGTGATTGGCTTTTTAGGCACACATTTGACAAATGGGCATCTTGCCTGCTATAACTGAAGTATGTATATGTAAAAAAATAAAAAATAATTGACGATATTGCACAAAGCATATCGTCAAATTCACTTTCACTATACTATCGTCTACGATATATTTCGCCCACCCCTACATGGCACCATGTATCCTGAGATACTGTACAAAGCCGAAGGAGTGGCTTTGTAAGAAGCATTTCATGGTCCTGGAGTAGCCTAACCAGTCTTCAGATCTCAACCCCATAGAAAATCTTTGGAGGGAGTTGAAAGTCTGTGTTGCCCAATGAGGAGATCTGCGTGGAAGAATGGGCCAAAATACCAGCAACAGTGTGTGAAAACCTTGTGAAGAATTACTGACAACTTTTGAGCTCCTTCATTGTGAAACTATATGATAGGCTCATTACATTTATGTTATAATGACAATAAACAAATAAAACATATTTGGAGAAGAACTGGAGGCTATAATCATTAAAACATTAACTAGGGGAGAAATGCATATATGGTTGAATTAAATTAATAAAATAACTCTTTAGCAAGTTCCCCTTGTATACTCCATCTAGCATTACAATAAAAGTAACCACACAAAACCACATTTGCGCTTAAATCCAAACAACTGGTTCTTTTATAAAACAGGAGATTATTCAGCAGCACATCCCATCTTATCACCGAAGCACATCTCCTGCTGGCCCCAGAGCAGTGTGCATGAAACAGAGTGCTCAGACACAGTGACTCACCAGGTTGGAGTTGGTGGCATTCGAGTCGTCTTCGGGGAAGGGGATGTAGACGGCTAAGGCCACACAGTTGGCGAAAATGGTCATTAGGATAATGATCTCGAATGGTCTGGAGAGGCAAGGGTTAAGGAATATACACAACAACAGCAACACAATCACGGTTGTATGAAATTAAAGCAACACCATAATTATGTATCTGACTAGCACAGGCATGTCAAAGTCAAATACATCAGAGGGCCAAAAAAAAAAGTTTGCTACGCGCGAGGGCCGGACTGGTTCAATGTTTCTCAACATTCAGAGGCAGTGCCGGTGACACCTGTTGGCTCGATAAAATATGCTCTAAAGCCAATCCTCATACTGTACATATTAGATGTAATAGACATCTGAGAACATGAAAACAGTAAAAAAAAAAAAGCTCAAACTTGGTGAAATGTAAAAGAGCAGTCTGGACCTCTTTTTGGTCGTTTTTTGATTAAATCTGCAGAATGGATTATACTTTGGGAAATACAAGTGGATATTCTTCTTCAATAGACAGTTACGGAGAGAAAGCGACTAAGCAAGGATGGGGAACGTCTAATTTGTTGGAGCAGCAGAAGATGAAAGGTAAAAAACAAATACAGACTGATTTATTTTGTGTCCATATTATGCGTTATATCTTTTTAATGCAAAGTCTGATATCGTTTACACTTACATATAAATATAGCTGAGAAAATAAGCTTTAAAATGATAAATAGCTTGTGGCTTATGAAGTTCAAAATACATCTTCTATTGCCAGCAGATGTATTTCCTTCCTCGTTTGCTCCCGCCGGCGGGGGCTAGCGAGCTTAAGGGGTCAATACATTACCTCAATGGCAGGCAATGTCCCGGGGGCCATAGATAATTCATTCGCGGGCCGGATTTGGCCCGCGGGCCTTGACTTTGACACATGTGGACTAGCAGAACAGATCATCTGCTCCTGAAGTTATCTATACTCAAACAAGTACCATTGCTCCGTCAATCCCCGTTATCATCACCACACACCCACTGTTTCATATGACTTTGTTTTATTTGCTGGTAAAGCGAGGGTTCCTAACTTTCAAACCACAATGAATGAAATCAAATAAAATCCATGTCACTAGTTCTTTACTGCAATACAATTTTCTTATATCACTAGCTTTGCATGTATTGTTGGCCACTGTCACATGTTTTTGATGAGATTATAAAACAGAAAAGTGAAAAAAGAGGTCCATCATGGGTTAAATAGTGAAACAGTTAGAAGCATTTTGGAACAAATGAAAGTAATAATCCGGTGCTGGTTACATAGTCTACATCATTGACTGGTATGTATGGGGATGTAATAATTTAAGTGGCAAATTGAAATCAGACATGTTATTTTACCGGTGGGATTAGCTAGCCGCGGGGAGTTAAGGCAACTCGGATCATGGACTTTCTGATCGGGGAAACGGTGGAGGAGGGGACATCGAAATGAAGATAAGATATACAGGCTATAAAATTAATTTTGAAATCCAAATATCTCGGGTGAACTACTATTATCAGTTAAAGAAGTATTCGAAAAGAGAATGATTTAATAATGCCTTTTGACATATTAGGGCTATTTCATGATGACTTGACAGGAAAATACTACAGTACATATTGCTACTTTAACTATATCTACATGAGGGACATGACACAATCTTTACTTTTACTATGGATAGAGATACCAACAAAATGCTGATTTAATTTCCAAATTCTGCTTTTGCTACAGACGTATCTAATAAGATACAAATTGGCATCAGAAAGGTGAGGTTTACTTGATGATGCAATTTTAGATTTTTGTTTGCGATGCAGACTTTTTTACCAAACTGCGTGTAATGGTAAAGTTGGTGTGTTTATCTTAAATTAGCAAACGTATTGGGTCACTTAGTAACATCTTTGTGTATGGGAGTAAGGAATAGGGGGGGGGGTCAGACAGACGGCACATGTCCTAATATGGGCGCGGGCAGAAGCAGGCCTGTCGCGTGGAGGACAGGACATGGACAAAGAAAGAGTGAGGAAGAGGCGATGGGAAGGGCTATTTGGAGCGGGACTGACCTCAATATTTAGAGAGAGGAAAAAGGTGAAGGAATGTGTAAAAATGACAAGAGGTCTGCTTCACATCAGACTAACCTTCATTCCATTGTTCCTTTTTCATGACTGTGTCTTAGCTACAGCTTAAACTTCAAGAGCATCGTTTAGCTTTAAGATATCTAGTACTTTGATCTGCTGTATACAGTCATGGTCAATCCGTGGATCATCCTTAATTCGACATTTAGGACATTGGAAATCTAATAGCTAGGTTACATATAGTCATTGTTTTCATAAATAAGGAATTAGCTTTTGAAAACGTGCATTAGAGCAATGTGCTGAGAGCCGATTGGCTAGGAAAGACGGTCCTCTCTTTTCCACCTTTCTGTCTGAAAAAGCTGATCTAAAGACGTGACAGTAGAAATGCAACTTTAATGGATCTTGTTTAATGTTCCATTTATTGTGATTTGAAAGTTAGGTATCCCATCTTTAAGGATGTGTTTTTGCTGCTAATGGACACCTGATTTTTTCCTTCAGGGATCAATAAAGTATCTATCTATCTAAGGGTGTCACATGTTAAACCAGGATGAATAATTCAGATATGCAATGTCATAATTTAAAGTCTTTGATACTAATACACAATTGCATTCCACAATGAAAACTGAGGGCATGGTATCAGTTGATGGTGTCAATGTCTTCCTTTTTATTTTTTTTTATTTTTTTTCATCTGCATTAATATTACCTATATATTGTATGGGGGCGACAGTGGCTCAGTTGGTAGAGCCTTGGCCTTTGAGTCTGAAGGTCGGGGGTTCTGTTTGTAGAGTACTCAATACTTGTTTCTCTCAAATAACAAAGGTTATTCAAAACAAAAAGCAGAAGAACCCCAGCTGTAGTTTATACTAAACATTTTACAAATTGAATTTATTGCAACCTTTAATTCCATTTTCCGCTTTCCAAAACACACTGTAACCTGGATAAATATTTTGCCTTCAGATTAATTCAATTGGCCTGTGATATGCAGAGCACCACAGCAATGTTATTAGTCAGCAGTTTATAGACAAACGTCTCTCTGCAATCACGTTTGAATTTCCCGTGAATGGCGCAGATTACTGTTCCGTCCATTGACTCAGTCCTCTTGGGTTTTGGTAAATTATGGGTTAGGATCTCCAAATGACTCACAGCCTTCCACTTGAATAGGAGAGTGATTAAACGCTCTTGTATTCCCCCCTCCTGGCTACATGTGCGGCTATTGCAGAGAAAGGGTCAAGTACTAACGCAAACATAAACAGACTGTTGGACAAGTATAAAGAAATTAATGTGATTTTTCTGGCTCTGCATTGATGAAGGGAAGCACCGCAGCTGGAGAAAGTGACATGTGGTCCAAAGTGCTTTTAGTTGATAGTGAAGCCGTATTATTTCAATTGTCGTCATACAGCGATAATAGTGCTTTGACTGGCAATTAATTTGTATGTTTTATAACCCGACATGTGTCATATTTTGGAGTAAAAAATGGATGAAATGGTGTAGAGAAATAAAGGAGAAAGGATCACTAATATACCACAGTTGAAGCTTTAAAAGTATGTATAACTTAACATAGCAGCCCACAAATACTGTAAGTTATTCATAGTAAATGAAAATTATTTCAGGGGCCTCTAAAAATAATCAAAAAAGTCAGCATCTGTTAGTTTATTGTTTCATTTATTGTAATTTGAAAATTAGCTAACTCATCTTTTAGGAACAGATAAAGTTACAGAAAAGAGTTAGTCACATGATTAAGCAGGAGGATGTAAAAAAAAAAAAAAAAAAAAAAATATATATATATATATATATATATATGCAATGACAGCATTTAAAGGCTTTAATGCTGATAAAAATGACATTCCACAATGAAAACAGAGGGATCACTTTGAGAGTGAAATGTCTTCTTTAATCATAACAGCAGAGTTGGATCAATATGCAAGACTTTGTTAAATAAGTCTTGCATTGTTCAACATTTAGCAGTCAAGGGCAGGTTTTCTTTGTGGCACAGATAGCTGCCACAAGCTTTTTAGTGGAATTTTGAACTTCTTTAGCTGCCACGGAAAATGTCACTAAACCTCCTGCTGCAACTGAAAATGCAGCTAAACTCTAAATCTCTCTGACCGCTTGTATACATCATGATTATGGCCCATGTTTGTGCACTGTAAACAAATAAATGTTGCTTTATAATAGAAAAACTACAGGAAACCAAAGTTTGGATCGGTGCAGATTTATATAGTCGACACAGATCACACTCACGCACTAAATCAATTTTGGTTCAGTAAATGGGGTTAGGAAGATGCTTTACAAAATTGGATATGCATTTCTAGCCCGTAGACGCAGATCCAATATTAACCAAGTTATTAAAACTGAATAAAACCTTGATGGTGTTTTTACTTGCTTTACGATTAAGGAGACTCAGGCAGTATAGCTGACAGGAGCCGGCAACAGTCCAGTATTCTGAATCTTGCATTTGTCTCCAGCTCTACAGCCTAATAAGGAGGCCTGCCACTGCATTACATAGGTTTCCTCCGGGTGCTCCGGTACAGAGAGGTTGAAATAAAAATGATCAAATATATTATTTAGCAAAAAATGTATGTAAGTATTCAATCAATTAATCTAGTAATCTGTTCAATGTTTGACAGTGTTAACTGGAGAAATGTATGATTTATAATACAAATTTGAAAAAAATCTAAACATTAAAGGTATATAGAAGGATTTTCTTTTTCTGGGTGGATCGTCTAGACCATCGGTGTCAAAGTCAAGGCCAGATTCAGCCCGCGAATTAATTTTCTTGGTCCCCGGGATGATATTGGATTATTATTAGAACCGGCCCGCATAAAGCCATGAGACAATATAGAATGATTTAAATATGTGTTTTTGTCTGTGAGCCTGTTGAAAAATCTTTTCACTTGAAATTACTGAAAAGGGCCATACATACATATTGGATTATTCATTTCATCATTAAATAGAATATGGTACACTGTGTTAGGGGTTGGTTCAATAGGTTATGCAATCATTTTAATATGTTTTATTAAACATTGAACCAGTCCAGCCCTCGGCTTGTATCAACTTTTTTATGGCCCTCTGATGTACTTGACTTTGACATCCCTGAAGACTTTTGGTCCTCCTAATTGTCAATAATTCTTTTGATATGTGATGCGAAGGTTTTCGGTAGATACAAAAAAGTTATTTCTGTGGCTTGATGTGACTTATATGCATGCATCTATTTTATGATGAAACTTTGTACAGCTTTGTGCTCATGTGATATGCAAATTTGGTTGGACCTGTTGACAGGGGCAGCTGTTGTCATAATAAGAAAGTAATTGTAAAGTTTTTGTTGCTCTAGAGAGAAAGCATGCCATGGTCACAAAAAGCCCTTTACAATTTTGGTGTACCAGTAATTCCCATTCACTCAGTTGTAGCAGCTAAAAAGGATTGGCAACTGTGTGCAAACTATTACACCATTTCTATGTCTCATGGTTATAACAAACCACAATTTTATTTCCAAGAAATTAATTTTAGGCCTTGTACCCCAGAACTTTTACAGAGGAAAATGGTGCAACAGACAGGCATTTTTGATAATGTATGGACCTTTCGTACACGATAGATCACTTTGCCTGACATACATGCCTATATTCCTCCCTCTCTTTTCATCCTGTATAGCAGCCTGAGGGAGAGCTAAGTCATTATGTAGAGAAGCTTAGGAAATGGGGAGAAAACTCAGGAGGGAAAGAGGGATAGCATGAAAGGGCCGGGCACAAGCACAGCGGGAATAAAGACATTTAGCCGAGCAGCGAGAGAAGACGAACAGAGATCTGGGATTAGACACTTACAAAGAGTTATGCAGAGTAGAGGTGCGAAAGAGGGAGAAAGGAGACTCTTTTCAGAGGATTTTGAGTGTGACCAAATGTCAAATGGGACAGATAACGAAGGGCAAGAGAAACCTAAAATGTCTCATAAACAAGACATAACTATAGGGAAGCTTCAGCCATCATAGGAACTTGAAAGGATACTTCCACTCCACAATACTGATGCAGGCCCTTCGTATGGGGTTCTTAAGCGTGAGACAGAGCAGTGCACGTGGCGGTCGCGTGGCTGTGGTTGTGGTCTGCTTCTTGGGCTTGGCGGCGTAGTGCTGTCTCTTCCGTTGCGTGGAGCTGGCTGTGGAGATGGGTCCGCCCCCTCCCACGCCAATCCCCGCCCCTCCGCTGGATGCCGCGTTGCCCATCATCTTGGCCTGTCGCGCTGCATCGATGGCCGCCTGCCAGCTCAAAGCGGCCCCGGGGGTGGGGATATGCTCTGGAGCTAGCCCCACCACAGCCCCGAGCACTCCCCCACCATGGTCGCCTCCTACACTGTGCTCGTTGGTCAGCCCCACGGGAGGAGCTCGCAAGGGTGGGGTCGGAGAGTAGTCGGAGCCTGAGAACACAACAAGAAGAGAAATATTAAAACCAAAGCTTGACTACTCGATACTCAACGCATCACCCAAAACTGTATTACAGCGAGGCTGAAAGTTACACCATAATTGTATCATTATTGAGATACAAACATTCAAGATATAAACAAAAATAATTAAACAACATTGATTTTCAGGAACAATTGCTGTAGATTGCTGACAAAACTTCACGTTTTATGTCACATCATAGTATGTGTTCTAGAATCTAATGTCAAATTTTTTAAATTATCATTTAATTTATACCATCTCCAAACTGATCCAATTTTTGCATCATGTCACACTAGTTATGCAGCTAAACCTTTCAACAGCAAACAGTTACATCATAACATCTATAATAACAATCAGGAATCAGTTTTATATAGCGCTTTTTTGGACACTAAAAGACGCTTCATGTGTCATTATTCATTCACTCCATACACGGTGGTAATAAACTACTACAGTAGCCACAGCTGCCCTGGGGCACACTGACAGAAGCGAGGCAACCAGTATGTGCCATCGGCCCCTCCGACAACCACCAACCATTCACACACACTAGATTCATTCTAGGCAATGCCAAGGACACAACGACAGCCAGGCATCAGTGGGAGTTGGTGGAGAAAGTCTTGTGGGCTCGAACCCATGACCTTCAGGATAAAAGGCCAATTCTCAACCAACTGAGCCACTGTCGCCCCAACTTTAAATGAGATTACAGAGAAATCTGTCAAAGAATTTAAGTTAACTTAATAATGAATATATGTATTATAATGCCACGTGAATGCAAACTCATCTTACTGTGATATCCTCAAAGCAGTGGAACTAAGCAACAACAGATACACACACATGCATACTATGCTTCAATTGCAGTGGTGTTAACAAGTCAATAGGTTACTCAAATGTATAACAAATCTGAAATGGAATTGATATCTGAATTGATACTAAAATTAGTACTGAAACTAAAAGCTTGTTTCAGAAAGTAACAATAGGGATTAAAAAACACTATTGCCGCTTTTCCATAGTCACCTTACGGTACGGCCATGGATCTATAATAATAACTGGATAATAAATACTAGCTTACAGCTGTCCCACCCATGGGCACAGGGGGCGCCCGTGGTACTGCAGACTAAATTCATGTGGGCTGCCCCAGAAAAAAGTCGCATAGAACTCAATGCAAACTAAAACAGCTAGACCTCAGCTGACAAAGCATCTACAGTTTTCAGAAATATCAGATTTTGTGGGGATTTTTGTGTCCCTTGTCATTGTGAACTTTTGTTCTTCTTAAATCCTTCGGTTTTCTTTAAATCCACACTTTACTGCCACAAACTCTGCTCCTTTCCTTCCCGCTCTGACTCCGCTCTGCTGCTGCTCTGATGAGCAGCTCTGATTGGTCAAAACGCGGCCGAGCCCCTCTGTACGCGTGCGTGAGATCCGCACACGCGTATTTTTGGCGCAACGCATCATGGGAGATCGTCCACTGCGCAGAACCAGGAGGACCAGACGATGCCCAAATATAGGCGAGTTCTGCTAATCTCCCGGTCCCCGTGAAGTCCCATGCGCTACTGAGCACAAGCCATTCATTTGAATAGGGCGCCATCTTGGATCACTGGGGCTTGGGTAGGGCGCGGTTATTTTGCATTTCCGCTAGGGTTAGGCTTGGGATCAGGGTAATTTTTTTGTACCACCTCGACAGTGGTTCCAAGTGTGCCGAAGCTACAGTACACCATAACGTGACGTCAGCCACGAGTGTTGTCACTGGAAGCAACGTCCAACCCACAAAACACAACTCAACCCCGCCATCTTTAAAACCGGCTGCTCTGCTATAATCATAGATATATTTTGGGCTATAACACATCCTCTTCACTCGAGAGAAATGCACAAAAAGCCCCAAAAGTCAACGTCCTGGTTGGTTGACGAAGTCCACACGTTACTCTCTTTAGTGGCTGTAGAAAGAATTCAAAGGCATCTCGAACGCACAACACGGAACAAGAAGGTCGTCAGGCAGATCGCTCAGCTCTTCATTTTGTGACATTTGTCTGTGGTAATCCTGGAAATAACTGGTTAGCTACGTATCCAGTTGGCACAAAGCTCTCACTGAAATGTATTTACTCATGTAAAAGTTTGATTGTTGTACACAGTGAGCTAGCTACATTAACTACTGATAGCAAGCTAAGCTAAAACATCCTTCCTGTGCTACTGTGCTGTATTTTGCTCTTTCACCCGTTGCCATTCTGTTTTATGCTTGTACTTAAGTTGTCGTTTGTATATTTATTTGTTTGAGAATCCGTTCCCACAAGATTCCCAACGAGCGATGAGTGACCGGAGTACTTAACTTTTCCCTCATCTGGACCTGGTCTCACAAGACATATGAACTTTGGACTTAAATTAACTTTTGTTTTAATAAATGTGTGATTATCAAACACATTTATTACGTTTAATAAATGTGTGATTGATTGTGGGGTCGACAGTAGCTCAGTTGGTAGAGCATTGGCCTTTGGGCTGCAAGGTCATGGGTTCAAGCCCACCTCAGGACCTACTTCAACTGCCCCAACTGCTGTCATTGTGTCCTTGGGCAAGACACTTAACCCCACATTGCCTAAAGCTCCCACTGAAAGACCAAGGATCCTGTGGACTCACCACCTGCAGAGGATCAGCGGGGGACTGCTGCTATGAGCATTGGGTGGCAGCTCTCCTTGTCACCCCCCGTCCCAGAAATGGACTAGGGGTAGAAAATGAATGAATGAAATGTGTGATTGTATTAAGACTTTGTTTCATTCATTTGTCTGTACACGTGCAGAAAAGCGCAGGTGTACAGACGTGCAAAAGTTGTGATTTCTTATCATATAATTTTACTTCTATTTACATTACATACATTATTTTTGTCAGTTTATGAACAAGGATTGAGGAATATTTGCTAAAAACAAAGCCAGCCGTCACTGGATATTTCAGGCTGTATTATTACTTTGTGCAGTAATAACAAATATGTGACGATGAATAATGATATTAGATATTGACCACTGACCACCATACTATATTATATATTTTTCCAAGGCCGTATAAAAAAGTTGGTCTCTGCCTTTTTGAGAAGGATGGAGACACGTTATCCAAAACACATACGCCTTATATATTAGCAACTGTGTATACTAGACATTTTCTCAAAATGCGTAATGTTAATTGTAGAAAATAGTTAGCCAACTTTATCAGGATAATACTTTCCTTAAATTTAAATACCACAACACAGGAATTTAAAATGTAAACAAAGAATTAACATGGAATGTTAGCATGGAAGCTAACGTTAGCTTAATTCATGCTAACACTTGGCTCACTTTGCATAATGTCTCTGTGCTCTTTACAGCAGTACAAACAATACAGAGGTCATTGCAGTGATTTACCTGAACACTGCCATAAAAGTGACAGCTTCATGCATGACTTCTCTCCATTATTATCTCTTCTATAATCAAAATTAATCTCATGTAATCTTTAGTATTATACATTGCTTAGTTCTCTTTCAGGTCTTCTGGTGTGTGCTGGACCTGTCGGGGCCACCTGCTGGCTCAGTCCTTCATTACATGCGCGACTGATTGATAGCTTTAGCATACTAGTTATCATATTAATTTTAGCATTCAAATAGTTGTAATTTTGTATGTAGTAAAAGAAAACTCTGCCTGCATTCTTGCATTTAGTAGTAAATAGCGTTCACAAACAGTAAAATGAACAAATCAGACCACATGGGATGTATAAAAATAAATAAAAAGAACCAAGAAGTAATTAGGAGGGATTTTTTTGACATATATTTACAATCGTTTGTTGTTTGAAAGGTGCCCCAGTTTTAATAAATTTGCATCAAAATTACAGCTGTGCATTGTGACAACAGTGGTAGGAAGATACATCTTTTCCAAACGCATTAATTTTGAGGTTATTCATATCTTTATCCAGTATACCCTATTTGAAACTGCTACATAATACATGTATTTCATGATAAAAGATGGCTGTACAGTGGGAGCTATAATCAGTTTATTTCTCATTGATTCACTGGCTTCATGTGTGAATATGTGGGGATTAGAGAGCGCAAGCTTTAATAATACTATGTGACACACAAATCCCACACACAAACCACTTCTTCTACTGACATCTCTTGACAGAGTCGATTGCTTCTTGCTACAATCACTTATTAAACTGACTCTGACAGGAAAACCAGCACGCAAAAAAGGGGAGAAAAACATACACTCTGTTCATAATGAATAAATAATATAAATAAATAATAAAATACACACATAAACATTGTATTAATAAACACTATTATGGAGAGAATCTAAATTTAACATTGTACAATCTGATTGAGAGCAGTGGTAAAGAATGTGTTTATACTGTATAGTGCTTTTTTGGACAAAGTTGCTTCACATTCACATTTCACTCCATGCACGGTGGTGATAAACTACTACTGTAGCCACAGCTGCCCTGTTGCACACTGACAGAATCGAGGTAACCAGTATGTGCCATCGGCCCCTCTGATAACCACCAACCATTCACACACACAGGACTCATTCTAGGCAATGGGGGTGAACAATAGTTTGGCACCTTACAGCCGCAGCCGCCCCACTGTGGGACCTGGTATTCCCAGCGGTCTCCTATCACAGTACAAACCAGGCCTGGCCCTGCTTAGCTTTCTGACGAGATCTGGCTTTTGTTATCTTCTAGATAATCATCTCTATAGCGCATTTCAAATTGCTAATTCCTAATTCATGGACGTGATGTGATAGTTGATACAATGGATGTTTCAGTTTGTGCCAGATGTTCCTAATACTAGCATGAATGGATCTAAAAACCACCCCAGGTTTGTTTAGAATGAGGAACAATTTGATATAATGTGCGTAATACAAGAAAAATGCATTCCACTGCTGTTTTTAAATTGTGTTTTTGAGATGAACTCTGGCTGGATGACACTGTTGTTGGGACGTGGACATAAAGGCAGTGCAATAAGGATAAGGCTCAGAGGATAGAAGGCAGTCAGGGTACACACGGCGGGGGCTTACGTCTAACATCACTTAATCCTGCCTTTTCTCCTGTCACAGAAGTTAAGTCTTTGTCATAAACATTCACTTTGCCCTGAGGCTGTCTGTCTGTCTGTCTGTTCTCACAGAAAAGCAATTAATTATCCCATTGAGAAACATGGGGGCTTACCGTATACATGAGTGATTAATACTGTATATGATGTACTGTTTGGAGAGCCAAGACTGCAAACAGAATGGAGCTGCCTTTATACAGTTGTGCATATTGAGTTATGCAAAGAGAAAGAAT